GGGGGAGGGGCGAATGATAACAAAACACTAGACACATTCCGAGCGAATACCATGTTCTTCTTATTATTTATACGTTGTTCTAAACTGCTCTCCCTCCTATCCACGTGTTAAGTATGTAGCGCTGTCAGGCCCGTAGCCAGGGAGTTCGGGGGGTTCGAAAGAACCGCCCCTTTTGCTGGGAAAAGGTCCACTCTGGGCAAAATTTGATCTAGGTACATGACGTTTTATGGGAAAAGGTCCACTTTTTCAGAAAAAAGAACCCCCCTTTTGAAATTGCTGGCTACGGGCCTGACTGTTCAAACATCGTGTAGTCTGACGCATGCAGGAAGGAATGTTTTCAATGTTAGTCCACCATGGAATAGAACTTTTAGTTTAACGTTATTTGTGTTTTTGTCAGTTTTGTAAAGTAGGTTGTTTTTTTTTTCATTTTATCTTCAGTCTGTGAAGTCGCTGAATTACGAATGTCCGTCCGTAGCGGCTGAAGAGATGAAGAAACTTTTTCAAGAAAAGCAAGACGCCCTCATTTTAGACGCTGCAGCAGGGACTGGCTTAGTGGGTTCAGAGGTGAAACAAAAATGTTGATTTTGTTTTTCATATTTAGTGAACTTGTTGAATGGCTCTTTACTAACCAACACATATGTTGACTTAAGTGGGTAAAGACGAAACATTAGAATATTTCATCAGTACATGTCATGTAGTTTGTTTATTTTATAAGATTAATTCATTTTTGCTGCTATTTCTCTATAAGCTAATTGATTTGTCTGAGTATTCGTAACATCATAGAGTAGTGTATTTATTTATTTATTTATTTATTTATTTATTTATTTATTTATTGCTTTTTCAAACACTTGGAAGTTGAAGAAATGTGGGTTTCACAACCTCGATGCCTTGGACGCCAGCGAAGAAATGTTGGAAATAGCGAAGAAAAAGAAATTGTACAAAAATGTCGTCTGCGATTTTTTAGGCCCAAACCGCCTTGACATACCAGACGGTACGTGAGGTCATATAGAAATAAATAAAATAAATAAATAAGGATATAGCAAATAAAAATATAATAATAAGATAAAAAGCGTAGTTTAAGGAATGAATATAATAAAAGGTTTGTCAGATCCACATAAATATCAATCTCAATAAATAAATAAATTACTAAACGGTGTAAATAATGAAACGTTGAGTATTAAATCCAACATTATTCCAACGATTATTTCAACGTTATTTTAGATACCTACGACGCTGTCGTAATAGTTGGAAGTTTTAATCCAGGTCACGTGAACGGAAGTTGCTTGGCTGAACTGATACGCATCGTTAAGTCAGGTAATGTTTTGTAATTTTTACTCTATAAATTTTCGTATCTGTATCAACTTCTTTGCAAGGTATTTTATAAGTGTGTTAATATACGCCCATCATTACGTACTCCTTCCATCATGGTAACCTAAATTACAATACTCAGTATATACATGCGTACAACATCAATGTTTTGACATATATTACACATGATGGGGGATAACGTAAACCTGTCGTAAATCGAATCGTGCCGTTCATATTTTCAAGACTGGTTTGAATCAACGCACTACAGTTGCCATTACAAGAGTATAGGATTCTGTGCCGCAAAAATGACAAATAAAGATATTTAGATCCTTATAGTTAAGATCTAATATACCGTTTATTAGATCTTAGCTTACATGTATAGTAGGCCTAATCTGAAATGTGGCTTCATTTTCAAAGTATATCACATTCTCATTGATTTACGTGTATTTGTTTACCACTAGTGATGTTTTCTGCTCGTATCCCCACAGATGGCTACATCGTGATCGTCATGAGAAAGGAATTGTTGGACGAGAAATTTGGACGAGATCTTCTGGAAATAATGGATGGCCACGTCAGTGCAGGACGCTGGGCAGTGGTTTCCAGGCATCCAGCTCCTCGCTACTCCTCTCTTAACAAAGGGATGGTGTTTGTACATCGCGTTCAATGAACTTTTAAATGAACATTCAGGCACCTATGTGTTACTGCGTGATAGCAACGTGTATCTTGGGTTGCTAATGCGATGGTGGATTTAATTTTATGATTTTATGATTGGCTCATGCGATGAGTAAGTGCAACACACAGTTTGTCTAACTGAAAAAATTAATATCATGTTTTACCTAAATTTATCTTTTGTTTTAAAGTTATGTCAACCACCTCGTTGAAATAATTCGCAATTCCTGTGAAATTCACGCCTTAGTTTAGAAACAAAAATCAACCCCAACTAAATGAATAAATACCACAATACCACACTATCCTGCCGTTACAAAAATATAACAATTACTTTAGTAATTTTTAACGAATTTGATAATATATGTACGCAATAATGACCATACTTGCGGTATAATAAAAGTGCGAAACAAAAACTTTGTCGATGAGCGTAAAAATTAAAACCGGTGTAACGTGACAGAGAGTCCTCCTTAACAGAGAGTCCGCATCCCACTCATTTCTACAGATGAACTTCGCCCTAGATTTTGACCCACTTAGGTCAGACTAATCCTAACCATTATAACTATATTTAGGGCGGACTTTCTGTTACACGGACCCTTAGTTTCGTTACATACACCGGCACAGCCATCAATTGCTCTCATATCAACTCCTCCTTAAAACATCACAGGGTTCCAACATCACATCGCATGGACCACGTTTAATGCTCTGATCCGGAAAATTTATTGTGATAGCAAAAAAAAAAAAAAAAAAAAAAACTGTTGTAGGTAATCCCTTTTTTTCTAAAAAATATAAAAAATCAATGTCATTTTCAGTAATTTACAGTGTTGACAGCGACATTTAAACAGTAACTGCAGCATCTTTTGCTAAATTATAGGTCTCTTGATAAACTGCGATGAAATAAAGTCATTGGTTATGAGCAAAAGCGAAGGAGATAAACCGTTGTGCCGCTTGCATGTTGGCAACTAGGCTACTGATAAATAGGGGGGGGGGGGGGGCTAGGTTTTCAGCGGAAACCCAGTTTTTCATGGTGCATTAGCACCCCCACCTTTAAAAATTACATATTTCTTTTCCTTTAATTTTAATTGTGTCACTATAATATATTAGCCTTATCGCATAATTATTTTTTTAATTCCCATGACAAAATATCCCGGTGACTCCCTTCGCCACATGTTTTCATGTAATTATTAAACAGAGTAAAAAATGGCCTTATTTCTGTAGAATTTTAAAAGGGGAACTTTCACTGCAATCTTGATTGGCAGACAGGGAAAAATGGACGACCTTGAACGCGAAATATATGGACCGTATTAAAATTTATGTGGAGATGTTAATCTGGGCCCGTGATGGTGACCGTTGAATGACTTACGTGAATTGAAACATGCTGATAGCAAAAGATAAAACTTCCCTTTATACTGTACGCATCTACAGCGAAATCATTTATATGACCTTTATGCTGAGAACAAAACCTGTGTACTTTGCGCTTCACCAGAAGGACAAGATGGCCACAGAATTGTCACGCCAAACCGAGGAGATCTACAAGAAAGTATTAAACGCCAACGTCTCATTTCAGGAGGCTTTGGAAATATACAAGGACTGGGCCCCAATATACGACGACGTAGGTATATTTATTGACAAAGAACTTGATATCAACTTGTAGTAAAAAATATATACATAACAATAAAGTGTAGCTACTATAGGCCTACTAGTACGCAGGAAACGTACCACGGTACCACTTTATTAGTCCTCTCTCCATCCCGCACAAGTCGGATTATTTTTAAATATCNCTTTTTTTTTACTTTTTCACATGAAGTAATAATAAACATAACATTTTGCTATGCTACAACACAAACGTTATGTTTATACTGTAATTTGAAACATAAAGTAATTATCAAGTGTGGTGGTTCAATTTTGAGAGAAGGATTTATGTGGGAATTTTAAAACTAAATGTAGAAAACTTCAGTCAAATCAAAAGAGATCCATAAACAGCTTTAACCTGTCACAACTGGTAGCCCTTGGCCATCACATGGAGTAGATTGTAATTCATTTCATCATAATTAACATCTTTTCCATGACAAGTTGTATTTCAATTATTCTTGGAAAATATTTCGATATTGATATCCATACCATGACATATTTTCATCAGAATCAGCTGGAATTGGGAAGCTGCTTTCAACCTCCTCATCAGCATTTGCTGGCTTATGTATTGCAGGAGCCATCTCTATTTCTAATCCAGACTCGATACCAAATTCTTGTCCTCCCAACGATGGTGAGTCTTCTCCGAAAACCTCCCATATTTTTTTTGTGAGAGCAGGCAGTTCACGTGGTGGTGGACCACCTCCTGAAATGAAAGCGAATATATGCATGGGTCTCCAACCAAATACATTTGTGATTTGTGGTTCTGTTAAGGGATTTCTAAAGTGAAAAATTTCTTTTTTAGGGCCCATGAAAAATGTTACTTTATCATCCCCGGCTGCATTACCTTTTCTGCTCACATAAAAAAATTATAATGTAAATTTTCCCCATCGAATGTTCACCTCATGCACAAAAAGTTAAACAGACTCTCCCTGTACTAAGAGTGCCTCTCACTGCAATTTATGTTACTACTAGCTTTGCTCATGGCACGTTCCATGTTTAAGTGTATGTAATGACGGTCCGGAGGGCATCGTTGGTTAAATTTAATGTGTTTTTGTATGAACAAAAAATACGCCCTACTGAATCACTTCTTGTAGGTGACAATGATGATAAACTAATATTTTTTTGGGCCTTTTTACAGAATTATCGCCGATAAGGGAGATGGGTGCACATCAGCCAATAAGAGATAAAACCTTTTGCTTAAAATGTAATTATGTCACTGGATTATTATTATTAGTGTTAATTAGGTCTGGGGATTTGATGGCATGCCTCTTTTTCTGTCAGAGTATGAAGAATACTAGGCCTACACAAGAAGTTACAAATTCTTGGCCTACACGATTGATATCTCAACTCTGCTAATAATAACTGATAGGCCTATAGGCTATTAGCAAATGTAGGCTATAATGTGGACAAATAAAGCATTGGCATTTCACTCACCGGTTTTCTTCAGTTCCTTTTTGTAATCGATGATGTCCTTTTTTGCACTTGAAAGGAGGTTGTCCCACTTCTTTTTGACACTTTCAATGTCTCTCTTCATATCAGGATTGTGCTGGTTTACACCATTCATTACTTTGGTCCATGCATCTTTTTTGGCTTGTGCTGTGATCTTAGTAGAGAATCGTCCCCTGAGTATGTGTTTCTGCTTTAAAAATTCCTCAACAAGTACCTCTTTCTCCTCACAACTCCAATTGGGCCCTCTTTTCTTATCTGCCATGTTTGAGGCACATGCAACACAGTGTATAAGTTTAATACACACCAATGTGCTTGCTCATATCCAAGTAAAGGATTCCTTCAAACATGGATTCCCCAGGAATTCCCCAGTGTGAGCTATTGTAACAGGCAATTCTATTGGTCAATGCACAGGCTAAACATAGCTCAACACATAAGAGAAATCCTACAGAGTTGAGGAAATTCCTATTATTTGAGAAAATTCTTGGCTTAGGAAATTCTTAAGGCACTTTATGCATACCACTTAAGGGGTTTCCTCAGCTAAGAATTTTCTTATGAAGTTAAGGAGAATTTTTCACTTAAGATAAGGATTTTTTGTGCATACGGGGCCTGCTTTCTGCCTTACATACTACGCATACACGGTTCTTTATATAGGCCATATATTGAAACGTCATACGGTGACCAGTCCAGCCATTCCATTACCTGGTTGAAATGTCACACGGTGAGACCACAACGCCCTTTGTCATTGACTTTAACCACTTTTAAGTGGATCTTAAAAGATCCAGAATGTGGTTTTTATTTACGATGTGTCTGTACGTATTTTGTCATTTTTCTACTGTGAAATAAAACGTTTATATAAACCTTATTAGTGCATCTCAGTTTTCTGTGCTTATCATGTCTTCACCAGTCTGCAAAGATTCTGAATCACGAAGGTCCCTCAATATTGGCCAAAGAAGTGGAGAAACTCTTTGACGAAAAGAAACACGCCCTCATTTTGGACGCCGCGGCTGGAACTGGGCTGCTGGGTTTAGAGGTGAAGCTAAAATGTCGATTAAAATTTTTTTTTTAATCTGTAACTTCCCGGCAGTAGATGAACTCTTCATTAACTTTACAGCTACCTTGTATCAAATGAAACAAACACGAAGCATTTGAATATTCAATTAGTATAAACTTGTCATAAATTTTTGTTGATTTTACACAATTTAGTAATTTTTTTGTTGTTTAAGTTTATTAATTTTGTTGTTTATTCGTTAACGATAATTTAACTGCACTGGTATATTTTTTCTTTTCTTTTTCAAACACTTGGAAGTTGAAGAATAGCGGTTTTCACAACCTCGATGCCTTAGACGCTAGCAAAGAAATGTTGGAAAAAGCAAAGGAAAAGAATCTGTACAGAAACGTCGTCTGCGACATTTTAGGCCCAAACCGCCTTGACATACCAGACGGTAGTTGCAGAATGCTATCATAATAAATAAATAAATAAATAAATAAATAAATAAATAAATAAATAAATAAGAGAACCAATATCTAATATCCAACACAAGTGTAGGCTTACCTTTTATGAAACGTGAAATATATACTTTGACTTTTCAACATTTTAGATACCTATGACGCCGTCGTTTCTGTGGGAAGTTTCGGTCCAGGTCACGTGGACGGAAGTTGTTTGGCTGAACTGATACGTATCGTTAAGCCGGGTAATATTAATTTAAAAATTCATACTCTCTAAGTACTCGTCATTTAATTAACTTTCTTTGTCAGATATCTGTACTATAAGGTAAATTTCAATAGCAACTTAAGAATTCAAACAAGCGAAAAATAAAGACAGCTGTGGAATTTGTTTAGGTTTTTAAAATGTCCCTCTAAAACATATTCTCATCAATTTGCCTGTTTACCAGCAATGTTTCTGCTTGTATCCCCATAGATGGCTACATCGTGATCGTCATGAGCAAGGAATTGTTGGACGAGGAATATGGACGAGATCTTCTGGAAATTATGGATGACCACGTCAGTGCAGGACGCTGGACAGTGGTCTCCAGGCGTCCGGTTCTCCGTTACACTGGGGTAATGGACGGAATGGTGCTTGTACATCGCATCAAATGAACATCAATGTAAGGGACTATTTATAATGAATTTTGTCAACCTAGTTTATGTGGGGCCAACTCCCCATCCCATAAAAACTATTTTGTTGCGGAAACCACGTCAACGATGTCAAATCCGTGATATGAATTGGCTCGACCGCGTCTTAAGGATGAAATGGGGAAGAATCGATCTGATGTACCCCTGTTGGGAGGCGTAAGCCCGGGGGACCTTAGAAAAGAACAATCCAGAGTAAGTTACACGTGATGGGTTTAACCTGGAGCGAGACGTGTAAAGTAGAGAAAGACCGCGCGGAAAGGCGTCCCCGTGCCGCGGCCGTATTTCCCAGCGGCGAAGATGGGGATAAGTGATAGGTGAACTAAAACGCCTCCTCTTTTTTCCCGGTGTACTCATATAATCACCAGCCTTCCTGTTTTCTACTCAAGGCCAAGAAGAGGCTTGTTAATCTGATTGCATTCACCAAGAGTCATGTGCAGTTGGGGTGCATTAGCTAGGTCGACAAAATTCATTGTGAACTGCCCCTTAGACAGCAACGTGTCAGCGTGGTAGATGCGTGATGTATGTTTGTTCACAAATGTGACGTAAATTGAATGAGATTTTGTAATTGGCTGCTGATTGCGGCATGCTACGAGTAAATGAAATTTACTGAGTTTAATCAAAAACAATGATTTCATGCTCCCAATCAGTGTACGTTTGTTTGGAAGTTGTGTTAATAACGTGTTTAAATAATTCCTGAGAAATCTGTTATTAGGTTTTGAAATGGTAAATATTAACCAATAGAAATCGAATTATGGAAAAAAATCTTTAATAGATGTTTGAATTATTCCAAGTTAGTTTCTTTACAAAAGACAAAAGTTGTGTTTTGTTTTTAAAAGTCTGGGCCGTCTTCACTACATGTACGTGTGAAGTAGACCGTTTCAATTCACTATTGTGTATAAAAAGACTTACGGTTTTATAATTGTTAAATGTGGGACGTATTCTATCAACTATGCCTAGTTTGTCTAAGTTTCAGACCTGAAAGGACCATATGGTTTATTTTTTAAAAAGAAACATTATAGTCGAGTAGCCAAAAATTGCGATCCAAGCGAGACGAGAAGACAATATTCATATTCGTTCAAGGGAGTTCGTTCGCGAAAGAGCGTCAGTGGGAGATCGTTATCGATTATTTTAACCCTCCCCCCTTGAAATGTATCGTTTTTACTTATTTATTTATTTCGTTTTATTTTTAACCCCGCTCTCGCTTACGGCACTTGGAAAAGTTGGACGCCGTGAAATTTAGAGGAAATTACAGGTGGCAATATTGGACGGCCCGTACCCCAATCCTGTGAAAAGCCTTGTATGGAAATGAAGTCAGCATTTTAAACATTCACTTTTATTGGCCATATCACAAAAATATTGCATATAAAATGGCTGAGCCATTAACTCAATTCAATTTATTTCTGTACCGGTACATATGTACAAAGATTAACGTTACCTTGTGCAATATAGGATAATAATTATATAGTATGTGAATTATAAAATATATCTTTATAAAATGGACAGATGAACTTCTTGGATTACAAATAAAATATGCTCTCTTAAAGGCGAAATGAAACTGCTTTGTGTGTTTACTGCAGATTTATCAAAAATACAATTCATTCATATGTAACATAATATAGACCGATTAAAATAAACAAGAAATATGCTAAGAGTTACGAAGTAGAACAGATACTTCACTTCTTTTCTTATATGAATTAATTATGAAATTGTAGGGGTAGACTTTAATATCTTTAACATATACTTTTGCTTTTATCTTATCACTGTTAAACACATTGTATGATTTACTTTCTGATAATACAGCCTTGTATCAGCTTATAGGGACACTTGAGTAAAGATTGTCTCTTGGTAAGTTTTATACATAGGGCACATATTGAAGTATGAAAAGGCATCAGTCTCCAATTGCCCCTTGGGGACACAGGCGACATATTCTGTCACACCTTTCAGTTTTCGGCATGGTGTGCCGCCCAGCTTCTATTTGAAGATTATGATCACTAAGACGTAGTTTAACAAGGGTTAATGGTGACGGAATTGCATTTCACATGGACGTTTGTTGTACCGCGTGAAGTACAACTAAAGAACAAGATATAACTACTCTAAAATATTTCAATGCAGTTTTATATAATAAATCCACATTTCCGAATAAGTTGAAAGTTACTGGTATTATTTCACACAAGACTATTAATGGTTAATGATGGCGGAATTCACGTGTTGTACGGTTACTTCTATGGTACAAGTTTACTACAAGAAATTATTATTTTAATTTTTTAAAATTCTTAATGTATAAGATAAAAGCTACTGGTATAATTTCAGACAAGACTATGAACAAGAAAGACATTTTTATGTATAATGTGGATTATACAAATACTGCAGAAGGTGATCAGAGATAGCCTTACGATTCAAGGTATAGAGAAACTGCTTAATTCACCCACACACATGTAATGAGAAATTCCTGTAAAGGCTAAATATGTGCCGACTTTATTATATTCATCTGACAAGTCCTTTGCCATTTGTAAGCCTTGTTTGCAAACACAAAGCTGGTTCTAGATTTTTCTAGCTTAATTCTTCAGCTTTATCAACCCTCTCAAGGTCACTGGTGAGCAGGTATGTTTTATTAATTTCGCCACAACATCCACCTGTATGACTTTAAACTCACCTGCTCTCTACACACGGTCAAATCAAAGTAATTGTGTAGCAGGCCCTAATTATTTTGTGTTTCCCTCCAATTATTCTCACTGGACAGATGCACGCTATACCAAGACCTCATGCTTTCATTTAAGGTAGAAACCAAAATTTTTCCATCAGATGAAGTGAACATGGAAAGATCACCTAGTGCTACTGCGACATTTTTTTCCTCCTGATTGCCTGCACCTTCAATTTCTGGGTCAGACAAGCTATGCAGAGAAGAATCAGAGGAGACAGTGGCCGTGGATTCCTTGGAGGTGGATTTCTTGGAGGACGCCTGCGACTCCTCTGTGACGTTATCGTCTGACGTCACGTTGTCCTCACCACGCATGCTCCCCGTGAGCACTGAGGCTAAAGTGATACTGCGATGTTCTCGGCTGCTCTCGGTCATGTATGGAAAAGACATACCTTCTTCCTCACGGAAAGCGAAACTTTCATGATGACCGCTGTCTGTAAAATTGACTTATAAAATTAAGTTATATCGCATGTTTAGTCCTTGATACTTAAAAGGGATATCTGAATATCAGGATTGTCTCGTTTGTTGAGTTATACAAAAAAGCATGTCAAATACACCCATTATTTTTTTCTGGACGCCCGGCTTCTGTTAAAATGAATGCTGTAATAGTTTGTCTATATCGTGAGTTTAGTTCTTAATACCAACATTTTCTCACCCAATATTTCGCAAATTTGAATCAATCACTGCACTTTGTGTATATTTTTTTGTTGCTTTGCTTGTACAATGTACCTTTCAATTCATAAAACTGTTATTTCAGTCTGTTTTATTTTACCTATATATAACTGAATAGATTAATTAAAAATATGAACAAAAACATTCATATCTACTCCAACGCTATAGAATTTACTTTAACCTACTGGTACTAGCTTAGAGTAAGGACCTAATTCGCACAAAGTACTCATTAGAATAAGATTTTTGTTTTTGTTTCTTTGTCCTTCGTGTTCAATTTAAACTTTAACCCAAAGGTAGTATTTGTCTGAAACATAAGTTCTGTCTTTCTCTCGGATTGCTACTTAATCATCTTGGAACTTTTAGGTGCAAAACTTCATCTTAAAGGTTAAACCAATTCTGGACTTAATTTTTAAAACAATCCCCGGGGATTAATAAAATTGCTTCTGACCTGAGCGTCTCAAGTGTGGTCTAGGCTGACTAGAGGCCGCCACGTATCTCTGTGGCGCTAGGTCCACATCTCTTGGCACATCCCTTGACAAAGTTAGTAAGGGAATAGGTTGAGGCAGCCGCTCGATCTGAAAACGAGATGTGTGTATTTTCATTTTATGAGCGTTCACAATGTACATGCAAGAGGAGGCTTACTTTCTGAGGCAGAACGTCTGCTTCGGCTCCGTTCCCTAACAAAATTTAATTTAGAAAAACCGTTGATCTGGGGTCGACCAAGCCACTGCAAAGTGACCACACCTAGTATACCACTTTTTATATAACAGTTTTGTAAATTTTAACCTACACATCCCAGCATTTCTCACAGGTTATTTCACAAAATTTAATTTATCTTAAATTTTGGTACATGTACTACATTTAAGTATTCAAACATCTGTCACTTGTTTACATGAAAAGCTTGGCATTAGTTTATAAAGAATATTTCGCGGCTTATGAAATAACAGTTCTGACTCTCTTACTCTTTCAATTTGTCTTCCTCGGAACTCTCGGCTCTGGGAAATTGATATATACTCTGGGTCCTGAGGCTGGAGAGGAACACATTCCGCTGTAAAGATACATACATACATGTAGTCTAAGAAATCAGGGTTTAGTCATAGCATATTCTAGATTTGCCACTGGTATACATGCATTTCTATATAATAATTATATAGAAATGCATGTATACCAGTGGCAAATCTAGAGGCAGATTAGGGGGTCCTGACCCCACTTCGACTTCTGATAAAAAACGCACCAAAAAAGTCTAGCTAAATATTGTTCTAAACCGTACAAAATGGCACTATTTTCCCTCCAAATCACCACTGTTTTTCAAGGGCCCTCGAGCGTTCCCCAAACCTGACGACAAGGAGGCCTGTCATTCCCTAAAATCCGCCCCCCCCCCTTTCAAAAAATTCTGAATCTGCCCCTGTATACCATGCTATAGAGGCCCTTCTCAGGCGCTGCGGTAAATTTTAACCGGACCAGTCCTCTTTGAGAGTTCTAGGAATTTAAATTGTTTAGTGAATAACTGTCAAGATTAAAAGTATAGCTCATTTTAAAATCCCCAATAATTTGTTAACTTACAAACCAACAAAACCAAAATCACAAGCAACCCCCCTGGAGATGGCAATAATGAGGTAAGCGCAATGAGCTCTTACCAGTTGTCCCTGTGGGAAATTCAACAGAACCGGTCTTTTTTGAGGGTTCTAAAAAGTCGCTAAACCTTCAAAATTGAAATGAAATTCTTATCGCAATTTTTCAATGATTTTTTACGTCAGGTTGTTACATGTAACTAAATCAACAACAGTGCAACAAACGCAAAACCAAAAGCTCCCTGGCGATGGTATTTTAATCATTAAAATGAGTCAAGTTAAATGCAGTACGTCTTAAGAAGTTGTTTTAACTCACCCATGTTGAAGCTGTCTAGGAGCCTCTCTTGCACCAGCACTATAGTAATCCGATGAAGAGTTGTACACCCGCCCTGTAAGACGAACTCTGCTATTGCCTCCAACATCCCCTTGCCTACCTCCTGGGGGTCCTTCTTGGCCGCTCCTGTACAAAGGCAAACGGAGATTTCAGAAAATACAATTTTGTGTTAACAATAATCTAAGAACCTACACTGTACTACAGTAATTGAAAATATTATGTTGGTTACTTCATTCTACATCTTTATTTCACGAATTAGACTGAGTGCATTTTATAGTTTACATTCTAAGATGACATTCAAACTCGCTAGAACTATGACTTAGTTGGTATATATGTAATTCATCAGAAATGTGAAAAAACATAGAATATAATTATTAAAATGTGAATGCTGAAAAAGAGCATTTACACTGCCTGTTCAATCTGTCCAACCCAGTGCTTTTTACCTGTGCCAAATGCGGGCATTGCAATAGATTGGGCTTCAAGGCGATTCGCTTCTTGCAACACTCTTTTCGTTTTCTCCTTCCACGTGCCATTTGAATGAATATCCAGATGGATCACGTGTTTACAGTTCAGGTCACCGGGGTCACTGACCGCCAGGCCGTTGCTCCCTGTCCGTCCTGTCGTGAATGCACATAAAATGGGCACAATTGAAATGGCAATTCAACTATTTCATGCGTGTATTAGAAATGTATTAACAAACTGAACATTACCTAATAAAACCGAAAAAATAGGATGAAATATCAAAAGCCGATTTGTTTTGACAGGGTACTATTGATTAAGAGCGCGGCGAGGGACCGCAGTGTTAAAGAGCGTATTCTAAGCACGTGATAAACTATAATAAACAATGTGAGAATGTGTATTACATATTATGAGAAATTAATTAAGATAGTTTCTCTGTCAAAGTTGGCTTTAAAAATAGAGAGTGGTAAAATTCAAGGGAGCGCGTGCTCTATAAATGTAATAAATAATAAACTAATAACCGCCGTGCAGAAGTGTACAAGCACATTCAGAACAGCGAAATAACAGAAATAAAAAGCTTGCCGCTTAATTCCCGATTTAATAAACACTGAATAAATTCTCCGCGAGGATTACGCAACAAGCATTCAAGAACAGACATTAGCCAAGGTTTCAAAAAAATCTGAACATTTATCTCCTCCAGATTTTATTGCAGATCTTGACGAACCTCAGGAATCATCAGAATTGAACTACAAATACGCGGAATTCCGAGTTTCCGCGGAAAAAGCTCATCTCTGCAAGTGGGTCGGCCATATTTGAACGGCGGGTCTGTTAGTCCGCTGTTCTGAATGCGCTCGAATATGAAAAATGATTAGTAACAATGTATATATTATGACAAATGATTAGTAACAATGTATATATTATGAGAAATGATAAATAAAGATATCTTCTCTGTTAAGGTTGGCTTTAGAAAACATTTTATAATTCGAGTGTTAATACCTACCAACGCGTTTTCTAGATTCTTCATAACCCCTTCCCCCGACTCTAGCAAGGTCATTGGCTAGCTTAGCTGAAAACAAACAAATGGCATACGTTTTGAATTATGTAACATACGTGATAATTTTTACTTATTGCGTGGCACTCCTTAGCAATACAGACGGTGTCCATGGGCACTTTGACAGATAGACACCCCTACACTTGGCGCAGCCAATTTATTAACCTCTCTCTCTCTCTCTCTTGCTCGTTCGCTCGCTCTTATTCCCTAGAGTAGGGGTCAAGTTGTGAAGGCGAGGACTCCCTCCCAGGGGTGGATTCAGGATTATTTCAAGGGGGTCCGGAACGTGTTTTGGAGAGCAAACAGTGCCCTTTTGTACGGTTTAGAACAATAATTTAGTTAGTCAAAATTCCAATTTCAAGAGGGGAATATCGGTTTTCAAAAACCGAAGGGAAGGTCAGGACCCCCCTGATCCCCCCTTAAAATCCACCACTGCCCTCCCCTGTTGCTTAATTACATGACAGGATCCTACAGATGTATAGGTTTTAACTGTACCTTGATGGGGTCGCTAGTAGTCTCTTATTAATTTCCTTAAGGGATCTTGGATATTAACGAAAAAGTCCAAAACTAATGCAGCTAATGAAATTTCCTATTAACTTAAAGAAAAGGTCTAGCAAGCCNCAATAATGAGGTAAGCGCAATGAGCTGTTACCAGTTGTCCCTGTGGGAAATTCAACAGAACCGGTCTTTTTTGAGGGTTCTAAAAAGTCGCTAAACCTTCAAAATTGAAATGAAATTCTTATCACAATTTTTCAATGATTTTTTACGTCAGGTTGTTACATGTAACTAAATCAACAACAGTGCAACAAACGCAAAACCAAAAGCTCCCTGGCGATGGCATTTTAATCATTAAAATGAGTCAAGTTAAATGCAGTACGTCTTAAGAAGTTGTTTTAACTCACCCATGTTGAAGCTGTCTAGGAGCCTCTCTTGCACCAGCACTATAGTAATCCGATGAAGAGTTGTACACCCGCCCTGTAAGACGAACTCTGCTATTGCCTCCAACATCCCCTTGCCTACCGCCTGGGGGTCCTTCTTGGCCGCTCCTGTACAAAGGCAAACGGAGATTTCAGAAAATACAATTTTGTGTTAACAATAATCTAAGAACCTACACTGTACTACAGTA